GAGCCCTCATCAGAGCCTTCCCCAGACTCCAGGACTGGCCCATCTCCCTCCCCAACCTCCCCACTGTCCGAATCTGCTGCCAGCTCTGCTGTCGGGCCACAACAGTTTGTCTAATAAGAATAATTGTGGCTTTAGGTCTATTTGTTTGTTATCATCTCCTCTAACCATCCTTTTATCTTTAACCAATATTTTGTTCGCCGATGGACAGGTCCACGAGATATGGCTGCTTCTCTCCTTGATCAGCTTCTATCCGTTGCTTCTTGTTCCTGCCTTCTTCGGGTGCTTTGGAGGACACCTTCCATGATGTCCCGTTGGCCCTTCCGCTCGAGTGAATCCGTTCCATTTCTTCCCACAGTGCCAAAACCTTCACGACTCCGAGCACTTAACCTGGCTGACCGTCAATCACGTCCAAGAACTCATCAGCTTGTCTCACGAGCCTCCGGTGCAGGATTTCATCAGCGCCATTCACAGAAACTCGGCAGCGAGCGGACTTTTCATCCAGGCGATTCAGTCACGATGCGAGAACTTCGCCTCCGTAAGTTCTTTTGCTTTGGTTTCTCCAGATTTCTTTTCTCTGAGGGTTTTCTCCTCCCCAAGACACCTCAGATTTTCTGCGTTAAAAAAAATACAGATGTTTTTATCTTGAAAGGTAACGATGTCCTTCAAATATTGAGGCTACCCAAGTAGTGTGGGACACGGTTGCTCAGTGGCTAAGACGATCAGAAAGGTCGGCAGACTCTGCTAGGGATTTGAACCTGTGGTGGGTTCCGGATCCCGTTGCAACCAGTATGCTGCGGTGGGGCCGGGCGTCCACCACGGGCACACGCGCTGTGCATGCATGCACACCCACTGCTCTGCGACATTCCAACCGCTTGGCAGAGCATCGCACAGGCGCCATAAGGTGCGTGCGTGTGCAAATGGCCCGCTAGTTTAAAAAGAGCCCAACAGAAACACCGTTCTGTTCCCAGCTGCCACTGGTACGCCCGTACCGGAGCGTACCTCCCGGAACCTACCACTGATTCAAACTGCCGAGCGTTCTGATCGACAAGCTCAGCTTATTTTTCGAAAGGAACCAGTTAGGTTGAGGAGATGCTTTTATACTTTGATGAGCCTGGAAAACAAAAACAAAAAAACTCTTAACAGAGGTTTTTCTCCCCGGTGCAGCCGACAGCCGTGAAGAAGACCCTGCAGTGTTTGGAGGGGATCCATCTGAGCCAGTCGGGGGCCGTGCTGGTGTTGTACGTGGACAAGCTTCTCTCCACTCCCTTCCGTGTGCTGGCTCACATGGTGGACACCTTGGCCTGCCGTCGTGTCGAAATGCTTTTAGCAGCGTCTGTGCAGGTAAACTGTGGCGTCATCCGGGCGAGTGGTGGGCCCTGAGGAGGCTTTGGGCCATCAGTCCTTATCTCTCAGCCTAACCCACCTCAGGTGATCGGGGGAGATGGGATTTGTACTCGTCCGATGGCGAGTTGACCACGACGAATTGTCATAGAGCCCTTCTTGTTGGTCCGCAAGGAGAGCCCGAGCAGCCCCCTTACATGCGGCTTCTGAGTTGAGGGGTGAGGGTTGATTCGGTGGTCTGCTTGCTCCTTTCCCGTCCTACCTTCCACGATTAGGACAAATTCATCCCTGAAACCTCGACCAGTGATGGCTAACCTTTTTGCCGAAGCGTGCCAGGAGTGGGGGGTGTCGCACGCACACGTGCCCACACCCATAATGCAATGCCCCCTTCCCCGCACATGCACGTACAACCCCCCGTGCCTGCGCACAGGCCTCACTGAAGCCTCTGGACATTCGGGAGGCGCGTTGGGCCATTTTTCGCCGTCGGGAGGAAGAAAAATGGCCCAACGGGCTACCCGGAAGTTAGTTCCCGAACTTCCGGTGGGCCCCGTTGGGCTGTTTTTCGCCCTACCCAGGCTTCAGGGAAGCCTCCTGAAGCCTGGGGAGGGCAGAAAACGGCGCAACACGCAACCCAAAAATCCGCCCCCGAACTTCCGGTTTGNAACTAGCAATAGCATTTAGACTTATATACCGCTTCACAGTGCTTTTTATAGCCCTGTCTAAGCGGTTTACAGAGTCAGCCTCTTTCCCCCAACAATCTGGGTCCTCATTTTACCCACCTCGGAAGGCTGAGTCAATATTGAGCCAATGGGAATTGAACTACTGGCAGCCGGCAATCAGCAGAAGTAGCCTGCAGTACTGCACTCTAACCACTGCGCCACCGCGGCTCAGGTAGGGATACCAATAGCACTTACAGACGGCTTCGCAGCCTTCTGCAAAGGGAAGCATTAACAATCCCTCCCCCCCTCCCCCCAGGATGCACCCCGCCTCCCAAAGAAACTACAGAAGGAATGGGCCAAGGAAACGTCCCCGTTGTTAGGAGAAAATCCTGCTGATGATGTTACCCAGTGTGGTAACGTGACGTTCAGAAACTTAGATGGAAAGAAACTTTGGAGAGGAAACCCCTGGCCAAATCTAATACCCGAGCTTACAAATATTTCCTACTTATTTCAAAATCAGACCAGCCAAATTTTCCTTTCCCTGGACTTTCTGTCTAATTCTGCATATTTCATTTAAATTCAGACGTCCCCCGTTTGCTAAGTTTTTCGTACGTTCATGCCTTTGTCTTCTGAATATTTTTGTAATATGTTACGATATATAACGTTGCGGAAATGTTGCTCCCTGCTGCTTGGGTCTTTTCAGGATTTCAACGTCAGCCTCCTGGCCCCGTGTTTGAGCCTCGGCGGGCAGGAACTTTCCCGAGGGCTGAGGAGCCATTTCGAAGCGGCCCGCCTGGTCACCCTGCACCAGGTGACGGAAGTGGTGCACAGGCTCCCCGCCGGACATCAAGTCTTCCAGCCAACGCAGCCGGTGGGATCGTCCCCGTACTGGAACAAACTCAGCAATATTTACGGTGAGATGTGGGATCACCAACTGGTGGTCCCTGAGAAAGTTTTGGTGGCCCGCAGAAAAATTATTTGCCTTTTTTATAAATCAGGGATCCTCAAACTACGACGGATATGTGCGATGAACGCTTGTGTTGCTGCAGAGAGTCTCCCCCTTTGGGGTCTTTTTGTGCGGGTCGGAGGGGGGCAGAAATTCCAACTCAGGGTCTCCTTCAGCCTCCTGGTGTGGGGCTTTGGGCGAAGGCTGGAGGGAAGCGCCACTGGTGGGGAAGAGCCGGAGGGCCTCGTTCCANTTAATGAAAAGAAGGACCAGGGGAGACATGATAGCAGTCTTCCAATATCTCAGGGGTTGCCACAAAGAAGAGGGAGTCAAGCTATTCTCCAAAGCTCCTGAGGGCAGGACAAGAAGCAATGGGTGGAAACTAATCAGGGAGAGAAGCAACTTAGAACTAAAGAGAAATTTTCTGAGAGTGAGAACAATTAATCAGTGGAACAGAAGTTGCCGCCAGAAGTTGTGAATGCCCCAACACTGGAAGTATTTAAGAAGATGTTGGATAGCCATTTGTCTGAAACGGTATAGGATTTCCTGCCTAGGCAGGGGGATGGACTAGAAAACCTCCCAGGTCCCCTCCAATTCCACCGTCATAAATGTGAACCAGTTGCCAAGCGCCTGAATTTTGATCACGTGACTGTGTGAAAAATGGTCCTTTTCCCCAGTGCCGTTGTAACTTTGAACGGTCACTAAACGAATTGTCGCTGGAGGACTACCTGTATACAACGGGAGAGTTTCTCCTTGACTTACAACTGAAGTCGAGACCGGAATTATTACCGTTGGAAGTCGTGCTGGTTGATAACACGGAGAAGTCTTTTAATTCAGAATAACTGATTTTATAACAAGTGATGCGGTGGCCTAGAGGCCGAGCTCTCGCCTCACAATCCAGAGGTTGTGAGTTCGATCCTAGGTGGAGGGCAGATATTTTTCTTCTCTGGGCACAATGAGAATACATCTGCTGAATAAAACTCCACATTGGCAACAGGGAAAGGCATCCGGCCAGTAAAACCCTCCGCTCCATTCAGTTGCCCCGACTCTACCCCAATGCAAGGGATTACAGGGTCGTTGAAAGACGATGATATAAGGCAAATACCAGTTACTGCTCTCTTTTGTTTCCCTGCCAGGATTGGTTCTGTTCGCTCGTGAGGTCCCAGTGCTACACAAAATCAGCATTCGCTCTTCCAGAAGGTGCCGAACTGATGAATCGGCTTCCTGAAGAAGAATTGATTCCTTTCATGATGCACCAGGTAAATGCACTTGTTGGCCCAGAAAACGGGGGGAAAAATCCCCTTCAGAGGCAGGTAGGAATAGCAACAGCCCTTCGACTTACATGCCGCTTCACAGTGTTTTCACAGCCCCCTCTAAGTGGTTTACAGAGTCAGACTCTTGTTCCCTCCCCCCCCCAACACTCTGGGTCCTCATTTGACCCACCTCGGAAGGACGGAAGGCTGAGTCAACCTTGAGCCGGTCAGGATCGAACTGCTGACAGTGGGCAGAATCAGCATGCAATACTGTCTTCTAACCCCTGCTCCACGATGGATGGATGGATGGATGGATGGATGGATGGATGGATGGATGGATGGATGGANGCGTTGGGTGGTTTTTCGCCCTCCGGAGGCTTCGGGAGGTCCGGAAGTCCGTTTCAGGAAGGGCGAAAATCAGCTGACCAGCGTTTGCATTCACGCTGGAGCTGACAAGGCAACACCTCCCGTTCCCTCAGAAATGGCTCCACATGCCATGGGTTTACCATCACGGACCTCGACTCAGCTCACAAACGAGCCGCGTTGTTTTATTTCTGTCTTTTCGAGTCAAGTGTATTTTTTTTTAACGGCCCGTGTTAGCAACTTCGGCTTTGCATTCGCTAGACTGACGCGAACACGTTGTCCTTCCTGTTTTGTTTTTTTGTTTTGTTTTTGATGCAGAACAGCACGGCTCAGTTGCCAGTTGAAGAGCTGGAGCGAATTCAGGAATATCTGCAGAACACCGGATTAGCCGACAGGTGACGCCTAATGGATTTTTATTTTTACAGAATATGGATGTCAACTTGTAAAGCGTTTCCATGATTATTATCAAGCTGACATAGAAAAGGGAGGAGAATTCCATGCACACCTTTGGCCAGAGTCAGATCTCATATTTCTGCAGCTGGCGTGTGAGGTGCGCAAATTCATTATAGCCTGCCGCAGCAGCACCTTGTTGGTGGATGTGATTTATGACACAGACCGAGGGGAGGGGAGACACAGGAGTAAAGTTCAGATGCCATTAAGCGGAAATCAGATTTGGCTCCGCAGCAGGAGAAAATGCCAAAAATGTTGCTCCTAATGAATGACTGGATTTCTTTTGAACTTTGTCTCGAGGCGCATAATTTACTTAGCGCATCTTTTGGAAACTTCACAATGGAAAGTGGCTAAATATTTGCTGAGCTTCCCCCCCCCCCTCTCTCCGAAAATGAATCCCTGCGGATTTTACTCTGCTAGTCGTCACTGACTTTTAGTGGCTGCTGATCATCTCTGCTTCATTGTCGGGAGACTCTGTAGAGATTCTCAAATCATCCAGGTCGTGGTTATCCCACAGGTGCTTTTTTCAGGACTCTCTGGTGTTTTCTTCTGAAGATATTTCGCTTCTCATCCAAGAAGCTTCTTCAGTTCTGACTGGATGGTGGGGAAGGGAAGGATTCATATTCCTTGCAGACAGCTGGTCATTGGCATCCTTTTAGAGGATTGTTGTCGCGCAGGTGCTGTGAACGCATGCGCAGTTGGCCAGTCGCGTTATAAGTAGCATGGACCGCGGGCGGGCGGGTGGGCCAAACCAGCCACCGTACTGGTACGGTGGCCGCTGCTCCCAGCTACTACCGGTACGGCCATCCCAGGCCGTACCACCTGGAACCCACCACTGCACTGGTCTTAAGTATGAAAAATTCTCATAATATCACTTTTGCTAGTGTAACTTTGAACGGTCACTGAATGAAGTGTTGTAAGTCGAGGACTGCCTGCATCGCCAGAAGAGTTCCGACTTTCTCAAAAGTATCTAATCTGGTGGGTTTCTGATTTGTTTTTATTTTTTTAAAGACATCAAAGACTGTACTCACTCTTGGACCGGTTTCGTCTAACGGTGGCTCCGGAAACCATTAGCCCCTCCCCTTTGGTTACGGCGCATCCCTTGGATGGGGGGAAACATCCTGCTCTAGAAACTTTAATTCCAGACAAAGTAAGGCTGAGTTGTTTTCCTATTAATCTGCTCCCCTTTTAAAGTCTGTTTGCAACAAAGGTGAAATATAATGCAGGTGTGATGTTCAGGAAGCGGATCCCAGATGTTGCTCTCCAGCTAGATCTAGTTTTTCTCCTCATAGGCCTCCCGACCTGTTCACCCTCTTTAGGCCAGCTCAGTATCCAAATCTAATCCCCAAATATACCGTATTTTCCAGACTATAAGATGCACGGGAGTGGGGGATATAAGACGCACCAAGATTTTGAAGAGGTAAATTAAAAAGTTTTTGCACTCTGCAGGCTTCCCAAAACCTCTCCATGCCTCGTTTTTCGCGAATAATTACGCATGCAGAGAGTTTGAGAGGCCTGCAAAGTGCTCCTGGGAGCTGGGGGGGGGAGGGCAAAAACGAGCAAAAAACGGGCTGCTTTTCATGAAAACGGTTCTGTTTTTTGCAAGGAAAAACGTCATGCGTCGGCTTTGGAAGGCTTGTAGAGTCCTCCTAGGGGCTGGGGGGGGGAAGCAAAAATGACTAAAAAGAGGCCCGTTATTCACTCGTTTTTTCCCCCCAGCCCCCAAAGAGCACTTTGCAGGCCTCCCAAACCCTCTGCACTTCTATTTTTGTAAAAGGGGCAGGGTTTCGGGAGGCCAAAAATGCTGAATTCAATGTATAAGATGCACCCAGGTTTTCTCCCTCTTTTTTGGGGGGGTGGGGGGCGTCTTATACTCCGAAAGATATGTTATTCAGCTGAGTTTGATTCTCTGTCTGGTAGCAGCCTTGCGTTCACACTAAGGTTGGCCCAGGCAACAAAGGACCGTCAAACGGTTACGTTGCATAATGGATGGTAAGGCCACACTTGGAATATTTGCATCCAGTTTTGGTCGCCATGATGTAGAAAAGATGTGGAGACTCTAGAAAGAGTGCAGAGAAGAGCAACAAAGAGGATTAGGGGACTGGAGGCTGAAACATACGAAGAACGGTTGCTGGAACTGGGTATGTCAGGTTTAATGAAAAGAAGGACCAGGGGAGACATATAGTTTAGTTTCCAGTCCCCTAATCCTCTTTCTTGCTCTTCTCTGCACTCTTTCTAGAGTCTCCACATTTTTTTTTACATCGTGGCGACCAAAACTGGATGCAAATATTCCAAGTGTGGCCTTACCAAGGCTTTATAAAGCGGTATTAACCCTTCACGTGATCTTGATTCTATCTCTCTGTTTAGGCAGCCTAGAACTGGGTTGGCTTGTTTGGATATCTGCAGCATATGG